CCAGGTGCTTTCCCCCCCCCCCCCCGGGTTTGGTGGTGGGGGGCACTAGCTCCCCCCCCCCCCCCCAGCAGACCAGGGACATGGGAAGCAAAGCCGCAGCGGCGGCGGAGTCCCGCGCCTCCCCAGCTTTGCCAGAGCAAAGCCTCAGAGGTGCGGGACCCCTCCGCCTCCCCGGCTTTGCTCCAGGTGTCCCTGGTCTGCTGGAGACGGTCCCCAGCAGACCAGGGGCACCCGGAGCAGCTTTTCTCGCCCCGGAGGTCGAGGTGGCGGGACCGCTGCGCTCTGGGCGGTCCCGCTGCCTGCGAGCTCCGGGGCGAGAAAGCCCTGTTCGTAAGTGCGGATCCGACGTAAGTCAGATCTGCGTAACTCGGGGACTGCCTGTAATTCACAATTTACCAATTATATATATGCTGTTACGTTTTCATGCATAAATTCTACACTGTTCTTAAAAAAGCCACTTGATTTTTGGCTGCAACCAAAATGCTTGGCTGGATTTTTAGAACATATTAGAAATGTATTGATTCATCAAGTTATGGTATGTGGGAAGGCAATGAAATGGCTAGATTGTCTAATGTCTACATTCACAATTTAACTGATTGCTATATGCCCATTTATCAGTTCTGACCTGTGTTGTCTTTTTAACTTTTTTTCAACTGCTCCTAGATAGAACCTGCCCCTACAGAGTATCAATTTGTGCATTGTGTAGGCTTAAAATGTCTGTCTTCTCTTTTAGGAGTCATTGAAGCACTGTGCAGGTACTATCAAAATGAAATCAAAGATATAAAGCATGTATGGCTTTCTACAGGAGTGGATCACTTCCACTCATCTTTGGGAGACAGAGGTTGGGGTTGTGGCTACAGGAACTTTCAAATGCTGCTTTCTTCGTTATTGAAGAATGACATGTATAACGATTGTTTAAAAGGTATGTACAGTTATTTACCATTTTGAGTGTTAGCTTCTGCATATAATATTTTGATTGCACTTCCTGTTTTCTAATCAAACTTTGTTAGACTTAAGTTAGTGGTGATATCTATTAAATATTTTCTTTATCATTGGTAGGTATTCTAGAAATTTTCAGGAACAAATTTGAGATAACAAGACTGGATAATGGAAATACAACCAAAATTAATATTTTACAGTTAAGAGCTAGAAATAGAAATGCGTACTTGTAATACATATATTATCTGTCATTCCTGTTTTTATAAATGAAATATTAAGACTTGGTTAGTCACACTTTTAACCTTATACTGAGGCATTCTCTTATCATCAGAGCAATATAGATATATTTTTTTAATTTCAGATATTACTTTGATTCCTTGTATTCCAAAAATTCAGTCCATGATTGAAGATGCTTGGAAAGAAGGTTTTGATCCTCAGGGAGCATCTCACTTCAGTAACAGATTACATGGAACCAAGGCATGGATAGGAGCATGTGAAATTTATTCTCTGTTAACTAGTCTCAGATTAAAGTACGTAAAGATTCTCAACAATCTCTAAGAATGAGGGATGATTGCAGTTCCAAAGTAAACATTTTGAGCAGTAACACATAATACCACGCTATACTGTTTGTCTAATATTATAATTACAAAGTTAATAATCACACTTATGTTTCTTCTTGTTACATGAAGTTTGAAGATGGTGGAGGTGCCAAAATTCTCAGCCTATACATATGATAGTTTTTGTTTATTTGCATAATCAAACCAATGTAGGCCTACGAATGTGCTAGTGTAAATAGTTAACCCATGAGCCTAGGCTGATCAGTTAACCTTCACTGTTACTTACAGGCTTCCTCCAATCCTCTGAGCTGCCGCCTCTGTATTAAAGGGAGGTGGGGAAGGGAGGAGTGGAGAAGCAGGAGCCAGTGCTTTTTAAGCTGCTCCCTGCGTGTAGTGGCTCCCACAGCCCTGCTTGCCCCCTGTGTGTAAACCTAATTGTCATTCTACACACCACAGCCTTACTTCAGCCTAGGTAAGTGTAAAAAAACAAACAGTCCTGTAGCACCTCAGTGACTAACAAAAGTATATAGTATCATGAGCTTTCGTGTGCAAAACCCACTTCCATAGATGAGTAGAGACTGAGGAAATGGGTTTTGCTCATGCAGACTCATGATATTTTTGTTAGTCTCTAAGGTGCTACAGGACTACTCCTTTTTTTTAAAGTTATGACTAACACAGCTACCCCTCTGAAAATATGTAAGTGTAATACTACATTCATGCAATAATTTCCATCTCCACAACAGGTTATACCTTATGTTACTTTGGTAGGATCTGTGAAATTGATAAGAATGTCAGTTGCATAGATGTTGGGCTCACTTTCACAGCACAGAGCCTAGTACCAGACTTTCAGCAGGTGCTGCCATCTTGAGGTATGGGGCTGCATGTATGAATTCCTTGCGGTTATCACTACCCCTCAGTGGCCTTTCATTTGGTGCAAGCATCCTTGGTGACGATGTCCTTCATTAGCAGTAACGGGGGTCTTGTGGCACCTTAAAGACTAACAGGTTTATTTGGTAATAATCTTTGGTGGGGAAAGACCCACTTTGTGGTTTTTGTAGATACAGACTAATATGGCTATCCCTCTGATATCAACTTAAGTAGCAGAGTAAACAAAATCTTAGAAAAATTCCATACTATGGATAAAACTTGCTTTAATTAAAACTTACACAGCCACTCTTTTTTAAGATTAGACCTCAGGAAAAGTTTAAAATTAAGCTATTTATTTGTTCATTGTTATTACTCAAAATATGATGTATTCATGCCACTGTAGCTAACTCAAGGTGAAGGTGAAAAGATTTTCATAAGCTCCCCAAATTGTATTAAGCTGAGAACAAGAATAGAATATTTGTAACCAAGAGCGTATTTTTTCCTTTTTTGAGCAATAGAAGTCTATTGCTTCTTAATTGTGGCTTTTGCTCTAGTTTTAATTGAATGTTAAACATAATATGATAGTATGTGGCTGAACTGTCATAAGGCCATTCAAGAGATACAATGTCTGTGGTCTGCTTCTGGTTCCACACAATTACAAAACTATTGCTAGTGCTGTAAAGTGTATCTTATATTATGGAATAAAGACTAGATCACTGTTTTAAACACAAAACCTGAACTTTAAAGATGAAAACTCAAAGTATTTTTTAAAATCTCCTATAGGTGTCAAATTATTGACTTTCACAAGCCAACTGGCCCTTTGGGTACACACCCTCGCTTATTTGAATGGGTTTTGAGCTACTATTCTTCAAACAGAGAAGGTGGTACAAAAGTAGTGTGTACTCCCAAACCACCTATCTACATACAGCATCAAGGTCAGCATAACCTGGACTAGTTTCTTGCTCTCTTATACTGAATTTTATTTCTATAACATGCTATTATTTCAAATGGCACTTCATATTCTCTGCCTCCTTCATCTCTATTGTTCTGTTCTAACACCTATATGCAGCAAATTTCCCAGTTTATTTCCTGTTAATCTTATTTGTTGTAAGTTAAATGAAAAGTAAGATTTCCATCTAATTAAAGATGTTAGTCAATTGAAGACCAGATTAGGGGTTTGAACAGGCTGATACCTGCTTTTCATTGGCAAATAGCTTGGCAATAAAATATTCTCATTCGTTACTTGGCCAAAGGACTTATAGCAATTAAGAGGAAGCAAATCCTAATACTGATCCCAAAGCAAGGTTTTACTGTCATTATTTTGTTTTGAAATTAGGACATAGCCGTACTATTGTTGGAATAGAAGAGAGGAAGAACAGAACATTATGTTTACTAATATTTGACCCAGGATGTCCGTCCCAAGAAGTGCAGAAATTGTTAAAACAAAGCAGTGATGATACCAGTCCCAAACTATTTCGGAAATTTGTGGGTAGCTTAAAAAATAAGCAGTACCAAATAGTGGCTATAGATGGCGTGCTCTCACCAGATGAGAAAGTTGTAAGTATTCCTGCAAAGTTCCTGTATACATAATAACAGCTTTATATTCATGTACATAATGCTTTACATGTATCCAGCATTTTCTCCAAAAGAATACTGAGCTCCTCAGAAACAATACCACATCCAATTAATACTGTAAAGGGCATTTAATTCAGGGTGGATTGATTTAAATCACCAAAAAATGTATTTTAAAACATTACCAAAAAAGCCAAGACAGATTGTGCTTATAGCACACTTCATTTTTGAGCGGCGGCCATGTTTATTTAAATCCCGCGGGGGATATTTAAATCCCCCGCGGATTTCCCTATTCCCAAGTTAGAAATTAGCATGCCCCTTCTGAAGAAGGGGCCAGTGTAGATGTAGCCTAAGGGTGTGTATTATGTAATGTTAGATAAAAAAAATGACAGTGGCTACTCTAGATTTCTCTTACTACAGCTTTCTGTATTGTGTACTTTGGGCGATAGAGTCTTAACATAGTTAACTAATAAGCCATAAGGTTTAGCTAAACTAAACGTTTTTTTTCTAGCAACATCCAACATAGTAAATAGCTTGGGAAATTTATTTATCAAATCACACTTATATTAAAAGGCATAGAGGCAGTCTTGAAGAATGCTGCATTGCACAGCAAATTATTAACGTTACTAAGCAATTGATCTATTCAGCCATATCCACATCTTCAGGGCTCGCCAAGTGGCAGTGAGCCCTGCTCGCCAGCTGCATGGTTCTGCAAGCTGCGCATGCGCAGATCGTGCGGCGCCGGCTATGCCAGCTTGTAATCTACTCGCCATAGGCAAGTAGATTACATGATCTGTCGAGCCCTGCACATCTTCATCCTCATCATTTTCTCCCAATAAGCAGTTTTCCGTATGATGTTTCATTCTTGCAGCTAAGACCTGCACCATCTTCTTGCACTGCTTACACTTGGCACATTTTTCCTTTTTTACCCAAGGAATGAATTTCTTCAAAATAGTCCCATATAGGATCTCTCTTATGTCTAGAAGCCATGACACTTTTTCCATGTCAAAAGTGTGGGGAAATATAAAAAGCTGCTAAATAGTGTCTTCCCTTTTTCTTTCCAGTCCACTCCACTGCCGCCTGCATCCTTTCCTATATATTGTCTCTCTGAGACAGTGTCTTAACTCCTTTGTTGTGCTTGAGTAAGGTCCACGACAAGTAAAGACAGAACAAAAATAATCCTATCCAGCTTATGTCTTTCCATGTTACTTTTTAATTTGCCACGAAACAGAAATTGAAAGCCCAGAACTTTCAAGCAGCAAAAACTGGAAATTAAGATAGACAGATTAGGGCCATTAATTCATTTTTATGAGACTGTATGGGTACATGTCTCATTTGTGATGAGATTTAATTGTTTCTTATTTTTTAAATGAGAGTTTGAGTGTGTGTGTGTGTGTGTGTGTATATATATATATATATATATATATACACACACACACACACACTCAAACTCTCATTTAAAAAATAAGAAACAATTAAATCTCATCACAAATGAGACATGTACCCATACAGTCTCATAAAAATGAATTAATGGCCCTAATCTGTCTATCTTAATTTCCAGTTTTTGCTGCTTGAAAGTTCTGGGCTTTCAATTTCTGTTTCGTGGCAAATTAAAAAGTAACATGGAAAGACATAAGCTGGATAGGATTATTTTTGTTCTGTCTTTACTTGTCGTGGACCTTACTCAAGCACAACAAAGGAGTTAAGACACTGTCTCAGAGAGACAATATATAGGAAAGGATGCAGGCGGCAGTGGAGTGGACTGGAAAGAAAAAGGGAAGACACTATTTAGCAGCTTTTTATATTTCCCCACACTTTTGACATGGAAAAAGTGTCATGGCTTCTAGACATAAGAGAGATCCTATATGGGACTATTTTGAAGAAATTCATTCCTTGGGTAAAAAAGGAAAAATGTGCCAAGTGTAAGCAGTGCAAGAAGATGGTGCAGGTCTTAGCTGCAAGAATGAAACATCATACGGAAAACTGCTTATTGGGAGAAAATGATGAGGATGAAGATGTGCAGGGCTCGACAGATCATGTAATCTACTTGCCTATGGCGAGTAGATTACAAGCTGGCATAGCCGGCGCCGCACGATCTGCGCATGCGCAGCTTGCAGAACCATGCAGCTGGCGAGCAGGGCTCGCTGCCACTTGGCGAGCCCTGAAGATGTGGATATGGCTGAATAGATCAATTGCTTAGTAACGTTAATAATTTGCTGTGCAATGCAGCATTCTTCAAGACTGCCTCTATGCCTTTTAATATAAGTGTGATTTGATAAATAAATTTCCCAAGCTATTTACTATGTTGGATGTAGCTAAACCTTATGGCTTATTAGTTAACTATGTTTAGACTCTATCACCCAAAGTACACAATACAGAAAGCTGTAGTAAGAGAAATCTTGAGTAGCCACTGTCATTTTTTTTATCTAACATTACATAATACACACCCTTATTTTGTAACATCATGACCACAGACCACAGTGGTAATGTCATAAATTTATTCCCTATTTTTACTTCAGCATAACTCAGCTTTTCCAATGGAATCCCATTCTATACTGGTTTCCCCCCAAAATTGAACTCACTGGCACTTCTACGGGGCTTACTCAAAAATGAAGTGTGCTATAAGCACAATCTGTCTTGGCTTTTTTGGTAATGTTTTAAAATACATTTTTTGGTGATTTAAATCAATCCACCCTGAATTAAATGCCCTTTACAGTATTAATTGGATGTGGTATTGTTTCTGAGGAGCTCAGTATTCTTTTGGAGAAAATGCTGGATACATGTAAAGCATTATGTACATGAATATAAAGCTGTTATTATGTATACAGGAACTTTGCAGGAATACTTACAACTTTCTCATCTGGTGAGAGCACGCCATCTATAGCCACTATTTGGTACTGCTTATTTTTTAAGCTACCCACAAATTTCCGAAATAGTTTGGGACTGGTATCATCACTGCTTTGTTTTAACAATTTCTGCACTTCTTGGGACGGACATCCTGGGTCAAATATTAGTAAACATAATGTTCTGTTCTTCCTCTCTTCTATTCCAACAATAGTACGGCTATGTCCTAATTTCAAAACAAAATAATGACAGTAAAACCTTGCTTTGGGATCAGTATTAGGATTTGCTTCCTCTTAATTGCTATAAGTCCTTTGGCCAAGTAACGAATGAGAATATTTTATTGCCAAGCTATTTGCCAATGAAAAGCAGGTATCAGCCTGTTCAAACCCCTAATCTGGTCTTCAATTGACTAACATCTTTAATTAGATGGAAATCTTACTTTTCATTTAACTTACAACAAATAAGATTAACAGGAAATAAACTGGGAAATTTGCTGCATATAGGTGTTAGAACAGAACAATAGAGATGAAGGAGGCAGAGAATATGAAGTGCCATTTGAAATAATAGCATGTTATAGAAATAAAATTCAGTATAAGAGAGCAAGAAACTAGTCCAGGTTATGCTGACCTTGATGCTGTATGTAGATAGGTGGTTTGGGAGTACACACTACTTTTGTACCACCTTCTCTGTTTGAAGAATAGTAGCTCAAAACCCATTCAAATAAGCGAGGGTGTGTACCCAAAGGGCCAGTTGGCTTGTGAAAGTCAATAATTTGACACCTATAGGAGATTTTAAAAAATACTTTGAGTTTTCATCTTTAAAGTTCAGGTTTTGTGTTTAAAACAGTGATCTAGTCTTTATTCCATAATATAAGATACACTTTACAGCACTAGCAATAGTTTTGTAATTGTGTGGAACCAGAAGCAGACCACAGACATTGTATCTCTTGAATGGCCTTATGACAGTTCAGCCACATACTATCATATTATGTTTAACATTCAATTAAAACTAGAGCAAAAGCCACAATTAAGAAGCAATAGACTTCTATTGCTCAAAAAAGGAAAAAATACGCTCTTGGTTACAAATATTCTATTCTTGTTCTCAGCTTAATACAATTTGGGGAGCTTATGAAAATCTTTTCACCTTCACCTTGAGTTAGCTACAGTGGCATGAATACATCATATTTTGAGTAATAACAATGAACAAATAAATAGCTTAATTTTAAACTTTTCCTGAGGTCTAATCTTAAAAAAGAGTGGCTGTGTAAGTTTTAATTAAAGCAAGTTTTATCCATAGTATGGAATTTTTCTAAGATTTTGTTTACTCTGCTACTTAAGTTGATATCAGAGGGATAGCCATATTAGTCTGTATCTACAAAAACCACAAAGTGGGTCTTTCCCCACCAAAGATTATTACCAAATAAACCTGTTAGTCTTTAAGGTGCCACAAGACCCCCGTTACTGCTAATGAAGGACATCGTCACCAAGGATGCTTGCACCAAATGAAAGGCCACTGAGGGGTAGTGATAACCGCAAGGAATTCATACATGCAGCCCCATACCTCAAGATGGCAGCACCTGCTGAAAGTCTGGTACTAGGCTCTGTGCTGTGAAAGTGAGCCCAACATCTATGCAACTGACATTCTTATCAATTTCACAGATCCTACCAAAGTAACATAAGGTATAACCTGTTGTGGAGATGGAAATTATTGCATGAATGTAGTATTACACTTACATATTTTCAGAGGGGTAGCTGTGTTAGTCATAACTTTAAAAAAAAGGAGTAGTCCTGTAGCACCTTAGAGACTAACAAAAATATCATGAGTCTGCATGAGCAAAACCCATTTCCTCAGTCTCTACTCATCTATGGAAGTGGGTTTTGCACACGAAAGCTCATGATACTATATACTTTTGTTAGTCACTGAGGTGCTACAGGACTGTTTGTTTTTTTACACTTACCTAGGCTGAAGTAAGGCTGTGGTGTGTAGAATGACAATTAGGTTTACACACAGGGGGCAAGCAGGGCTGTGGGAGCCACTACACGCAGGGAGCAGCTTAAAAAGCACTGGCTCCTGCTTCTCCACTCCTCCCTTCCCCACCTCCCTTTAATACAGAGGCGGCAGCTCAGAGGATTGGAGGAAGCCTGTAAGTAACAGTGAAGGTTAACTGATCAGCCTAGGCTCATGGGTTAACTATTTACACTAGCACATTCGTAGGCCTACATTGGTTTGATTATGCAAATAAACAAAAACTATCATATGTATAGGCTGAGAATTTTGGCACCTCCACCATCTTCAAACTTCATGTAACAAGAAGAAACATAAGTGTGATTATTAACTTTGTAATTATAATATTAGACAAACAGTATAGCGTGGTATTATGTGTTACTGCTCAAAATGTTTACTTTGGAACTGCAATCATCCCTCATTCTTAGAGATTGTTGAGAATCTTTACGTACTTTAATCTGAGACTAGTTAACAGAGAATAAATTTCACATGCTCCTATCCATGCCTTGGTTCCATGTAATCTGTTACTGAAGTGAGATGCTCCCTGAGGATCAAAACCTTCTTTCCAAGCATCTTCAATCATGGACTGAATTTTTGGAATACAAGGAATCAAAGTAATATCTGAAATTAAAAAAATATATCTATATTGCTCTGATGATAAGAGAATGCCTCAGTATAAGGTTAAAAGTGTGACTAACCAAGTCTTAATATTTCATTTATAAAAACAGGAATGACAGATAATATATGTATTACAAGTACGCATTTCTATTTCTAGCTCTTAACTGTAAAATATTAATTTTGGTTGTATTTCCATTATCCAGTCTTGTTATCTCAAATTTGTTCCTGAAAATTTCTAGAATACCTACCAATGATAAAGAAAATATTTAATAGATATCACCACTAACTTAAGTCTAACAAAGTTTGATTAGAAAACAGGAAGTGCAATCAAAATATTATATGCAGAAGCTAACACTCAAAATGGTAAATAACTGTACATACCTTTTAAACAATCGTTATACATGTCATTCTTCAATAACGAAGAAAGCAGCATTTGAAAGTTCCTGTAGCCACAACCCCAACCTCTGTCTCCCAAAGATGAGTGGAAGTGATCCACTCCTGTAGAAAGCCATACATGCTTTATATCTTTGATTTCATTTTGATAGTACCTGCACAGTGCTTCAATGACTCCTAAAAGAGAAGACAGACATTTTAAGCCTACACAATGCACAAATTGATACTCTGTAGGGGCAGGTTCTATCTAGGAGCAGTTGAAAAAAAGTTAAAAAGACAACACAGGTCAGAACTGATAAATGGGCATATAGCAATCAGTTAAATTGTGAATGTAGACATTAGACAATCTAGCCATTTCATTGCCTTCCCACATACCATAACTTGATGAATCAATACATTTCTAATATGTTCTAAAAATCCAGCCAAGCATTTTGGTTGCAGCCAAAAATCAAGTGGCTTTTTTAAGAACAGTGTAGAATTTATGCATGAAAACGTAACAGCATATATATAATTGGTAAATTGTGAATTACAGGCAGTCCCCGAGTTACGCAGATCTGACTTACGTCGGATCCGCACTTACGAACAGGGCTTTCTCGCCCCGGAGCTCGCAGGCAGCGGGACCGCCCAGAGCGCAGCGGTCCCGCCACCTCGACCTCCGGGGCGAGAAAAGCTGCTCCGGGTGCCCCTGGTCTGCTGGGGACCGTCTCCAGCAGACCAGGGACACCTGGAGCAAAGCCGGGGAGGCGGAGGGGTCCCGCACCTCTGAGGCTTTGCTCTGGCAAAGCCTCAGAGGCGTGGGACTCCGCCGCCACTGATGCTTTGCTCCCGGTGCCTCTGGGCT